AGCTGCAGTTTATGGTGGAATGGTTCAATCTATTGAAATTATTGAAAATGTTGAACAACAACAACAACAAGATGATCTTAGAAGAATATTTAATAATGCCATTGAACATAATCATAATTTATTAACGATCATTTATGAGGATGCACTTTCCAATGTACCAGCTGTTCGAGTAAGTTTTCAGTGACTTCTGCCATTGATGCAACCCTATTCTTTGTTATCGCCGTTAAATATGTGCAGTGCTACTCTTGAAATTATTATCCAACAGATTTGATCTATTCATTTTGCACATTGTACTAGTACTCTCATTGATTCCGTTCAATTTTATGTGTGTCAAAAGTAGCTAGTATTTTCGATTTTGTTCTAATCCCAGGTAGTGCTTAGTGATTACCGTGTTATGGCTAGAAATAAATCTTAACTTTTTACTTAAAGATTGAAACATAAATAGTATTTCATTACGGAAAAAAAATTTCGGAACAGTTAAATCCAATGTACTGGTTTGTTACTATGATGAAAATAATTTGGCGTGTGTTCAATGAAGTATATGTATAGTGTTGTATAGATGATTTTTAACCGTGATCTAAGCGTTTAACGAAGAAATCTAAAAGAGTTCTATGGATGATGATACTCAACTCGTACACACGAAGCACTTGTGCACAACTAGTAAATTAGAATAGCAATGCTTATAATTTTCTAACATAAAGAAATTTAGTTTTGCAAAGAAATACATATTTTTGCATTTTAAGAAGTACAATTCGTACTCAAGTATAGGACAACATATGTTTATTGAAGTAAAAAATATAGCCTTATAGATGTTATTGTTTAATTTATCCTAATGAAAAAATATATTTTTACACAAGTTTCTACTACTAGTAAAAAATAATCAGTCTATTCAAGCAAAGTGACTTGTAAAATTTACATTTTTTTTTTGGTAGGGATATGTATGATTAACCGTGGCTGTTAGCAAAAACTTGTATTCAATCTCATTAGCTCTTGTCTACCCTAATGATTACATGTGTGAATATTATCTAATTAGTATCTATGCTAGTGTACTGCCTAGCTATATTATATTGATAGAAGCTAATAGGATTCAACAGTTCTATCATTTATGAATTGAATCAAAGACCATCTCATTCAAGTGCTTTAGTAGCGTCAATGTTTAGGATTATATGATTCAAAACTTCTGAATCAGCAGTTCGTTTTTTCTTTCTTCACAATTTCTTAGTAAGACCGATGTGATGTAACTTCTATACGGTCCATTGTTTCTTCGATAATTCAAAAATATATATAATAAATTAATTGTTTTAGTCATCAGCATCAAGTTTGATCACATCTTTAACAACAATTGATATCTCAGATATAATATTTAATAATTTTAATCAAACATTTTTACGTTCACTTGAAAGCGAATTACGCCAACTGATGTGTGCTGTCGTTCAATCATTACAAACTTCTGGCACAGTTGATCTGAAAACATGGCATTCATTTTCATCTTACATGGTAAAACGAAAAATCAAACTTTAATTTATTTTCTTTTAATAATTCAATCAAATTTAGGCACTTCTTCTGCGAATTTCATCGACAAATAACGGTGCCCAACTACTTGTATCTAGTAATATATTTGATGCACTTTTGCCTCTAATGGACTTTCATACGGATACTCGACGATTATCACAGTAGGAATTTTCTTTTTGAATAGAAAAATACATTCTATAACAACGTATTTAAATAGTGATCATGAGACAAATCGCAACGGCCGATGGATGTTCGGCCGAACACTTGCATTTGTTGTTGATTTAACAGTTGCATCATTAATGGCGAACGTTCGAACAAAAGAAAAAGTAAAAACGAAAAACGAAAAACGAAAAACGAAAAAGCAATTATGTCTTCTATACACATTTTGTTTCTTAGATTTATCAATTCGCTAATCATTTAACTGAACTAATTTTGACGATCTTAGCAAGTCCACTAGATGATTTATGTACATTACATGAAATTGATACTGTTCTCAAAATAATCTATACGCTTGATGCATCAAGTAAGAAATTTTTCTTTTCTTTTCGTCTCAAAATAAAACTTTTTTCATTTTAGCTGACTCGAATGCTCGCTCAATCGATGGTCAATTGCAACGAATGCGTCAAGCGTCATTGAAATTACTTGCTATTCTTTCTCGCGATGATTTATTTCGTCATTTATTAGCACAATTAGAGACAACTCGTGCACGACAAATAATTTCGACAACATACTGGCGAATTTGTTTTTATGTATTAGCTATAGCTATTCGACTGGTTCATCAAAGTAAATTTCTGTTTTATACATGAATAGGTTGACTATATTATTATATGAATTGTAGATAACTCGGAACTTACGGAATTTCTTCCCGGCATTTTGAAACTATGTGAATGGATTACATTGAATACAACAAATTTATCACAAGCAGAAAAATCTACTCTGTTTAACTTTTGTCAGATGCCAATTGATCGATTATCAACACCGAAAATGAAACAAGATTTATTAATCAACATGATGAAGTAAAGAAAACATGACATGAATATAGAAAATAATTCGTTTCTTTTCTTTTACTTGTAGATTAATGGATAGTAGCTCATCGTTATACAATCCACACTGATATACAATTGCATTCTTTTTCTTTTGTAACTAAAAATTAAACTAGGTTCATATTTTTTCTTTCTTCGTTTGTTATGATTATTAAATAAAATCTATTCGTGAATAGTGAAGAACTTTTGGAAAATAAGAAACTTAGTTTAGGATACTTTGAGAAAGGACACTCAAGTTACAAGTAAATATTGGAATTAACTAAGCGTCTCGAAGTCACACCAAACAATTAAGTTTCTTTCGAGTCTAGTATTTGTGTATCTGAGTTTTCTAAGAGAGGGACGTATGTAAAATGATGAAATTTCGTCTACTTGTTGATACTGGAAGTTCATTGCAGTTGTGCCTAAGGAAAGATCTGTATAAAAGCTGACATATGTCTTGAGAGCAGTGTATTAAGCTGCTGTTAGCGAAGAAATTCAATCTAGCTTTAATTTTCCAAATAGATTTTGATATTTAAAACATAACGAATAATTTACAACAAAATATTTGATTTGTAGTTTCTAATTGATAATGCTTCTGTTAAAAATTCAACAAAGCCTGAATCAGCTAAACTGAATAACAGAGAATGACCATTGGAAAAAGTAGATTTCAACATGTAAGTGACTAGCTACTGATCTGAAAGTTTCAATGAAGGTATTCATCAGGCTGTGGAGATTAATAGAACAAAATGTGTACTATTGGGCTCTGACCGGTAGAAACCGTACTCGAAAATGAGGAAAAAAGGGAATTTTGTTTTCAAATTAACACCGATAACTATTTTTTTGACAGCATAAAACAGATTTCACAGAAAATCTCATTTATTGAATTTAGGCTCTCTTAGTCGTCGCTACGCTTGAATAGAATAAAATGAATATTTGTGTCCGTATGGATTCATGTGAATTCAGACTAACTGTTGTCAAATCGGATCTGTGACTTCAGTGGCACCCTGGCCTATGTGGAGTATTCTCGCTATAGCTCGCGTATCATTTATCTTTTCTAATGCTGATATTCAGCCACCTCCGATAGCATTTGAAAACCCATTTAATGAGAATGTTACACAAAAAAGCATAACTGCAGATAACAGACACCACCATCACTCCTACTCATATCATTTAAATTCACTGATCACTCCAACCTCCACACAATAATGCGAGCAAATAGAACAGTATCCACTGAATTCAGATCTGTACCCTTTTCTTCGTAATACCGAATACTGACTAAACATTAGCCCATTACTCAGATTCTAACAAGCAAATCTTTTCAAAGTATAATTCAGCCGTAGTTGCACTTCTCAGATTCTAATAGTCATCTTAATCTGGCTGATATGTAAGTTAGTTAAAAAAATGTTTATCTGACTTTTTATATTATAATTTATATTAGTTTTCGAGTAGCTGAACATGCTACACTTCGGAGTGCGGATTCGTTGTTTGGTATAAGAATGATAGAAAAATAAATTGCAAATGGATAGTATTGTGGGATTGGAAAGATTGGTCTGGAAACCACATTTGTTTGCCGTGTTTAATTCTTTAATCTGAGCTTCTTCAACAGCCCAAAGCTAGTTAGATATGATCCGTACTCTGTTGTAGAGATAAGTTGTTGAAATATGCGTTGAGAGCCGAGGTAGATATGATCACCAGAACGATGAACTGCTTCTGAGCTGAAGAATTGATGGGAAGTAAATTAGAAACGTCGGTAAGAAGCCGCCATGAAATCTGACGGGATAAATTCGTTGAAAATCGACTAATTTATGGTCGCTTCCGTTCCTTGGCCGATTATGGGGAACTGAAATGGAGTTGATCGAATTTTTTCCTTGATTTTCCATCTATTTTCCGGTTCGATATGAATGGAAAGAGATTGGAAAATTTCTGGAAAAATCATTCAGAAATAGTACTTCCGTGAAATCGCAGGAAAGTCCCGGAACCTAGCGTTTCGGGGACGGATTGTTTAACCTGGGGATATTTGCTGAACACTTTTCAGTTACGTACAACAAATCTACTATGATTAGAAAAATCTACTTTGCTCGATTTTTTCGCATGCCAATTGATCAAATATCGACACGAAAAATGAGCGAAGATCTATCAATCAACACGATGAAGTAAAGAAACTTTATAGGAAAGTAATCATTTTTTTAATATATACGAATAGTAAGTAGCTCATCGTTATATAATTCACATGAATATAAACATACGTTTCTTTTGTCTGTTATGATTATTAAATCAAATCTATTCATGAAATACCAAGAACTTTTAACAACTAAGAAACCTAGTCTAACGTAAGATCTTTATTTGAAAAAGAACAAGAATAGCTACAAATAAACATTGTTGCACTGGAGCACAGGTTAGGACATGGATAAATTTAGAAAAAAAAGTATCGGTTCTCTAAGTCAAGTTTGGCAACTGAACAGAAGATTAGTCGACATTATCTTTGTAGAACAATTTGATGACTAGAATAAACGAGAAAGAAAATAACTAGAAAACAAAACTTTATATATTGATGATTATTACGTTTAAGACGATCCTTAGCTTTCAGATGATTGTATACGGTTGTAGTTACTTGATAAAGAACATAAGCAACAATAATGCCTTGTGCAGCAAAAAACAATTTGTCTCGTGGCATCATTATCCAAGTTGGTTTACTCTTATTGCGCTAAATAAAATTATCGATTACGTATGTAAAAACTATTGTAAACAATATTTACTAATGCAAAGAGTTGTAATTGTTGTATACGACGAATACGATTTTCAACATATTGATCAAGTGTTCCTTTGTTGCGTTTTACCTGTGTAATTGTGTCAGTGTCACCTTTAAATGGTGTGCGCCAAAGATTGACACCTTCCCATGGAGCAGCATGCGAAGCGTGACCATGACCAGTAGATATTGCGGCAGTTGTATGAACTTTGGCAGCAGTAGTAGTCGAGCTAGCAGTAAGCGTGTTACCAGTATGAGAGGGGGACATTGATGTTTTCGAACTGGTTAAGTTACTTTCTGCATGTGATTGTGCTCCACTTGCATGACTACTTTTCGGTTGTGGAGCAAGAAAAAAATTATTTGTTGTTTCTTTAGTACCAAAGCCCTACAAAAGAATAATGAAAAAAAATCTCGATTTGATATAATAATTTCGATATCTAACTTGTGGTATATAAGCAGAAATTCGATCGGATGGTGAAAGTGTATTGACAAAAGAATTATATTTGTGAAACATGATGCTTGACAAGAGTTATGTACTGTATCTAAAATGTTCACACAGTTGTTTTTCGTTTTATTTTTCACAATTAAAACTAGAAAACGCATCTATATATATATATATATCAAGTGTACTAGCTATCTAGGAATCTTGTATTAGTATTGCAATAGTTATGTAACATAACTACTGGTACATAGTCTACACTATTTGTATCTAAAATCCAAAGCTGAGCTGAGTAATTGACTCTTATTTCTCATGATGAAACGTAAGATCTAGAAATCTGTATTAATCTTATCAGCGAAAAATGGAAATCTATGAAAAATAACTTCAGCGTACTATATTCATATCGAGAGAAATGAATAAGTATCTTCTATTTCAGTCATTTTGGCATATTGGCAATGCTCATTCTATTTTAAAGCGAAATTCGATATCATCATTAGAACGTCGTTTTATAATCCATTATAGAGTATAATCTCATGCTCTACCTTGCAAGCAAATCCATTATTTATAAACTGAATTCAGCACTCAGAAAAAAATGGGAGACAAATAGCATCAAATTCCTAATCATCAAAAAAAAAAGATGGAAGGAAACTAACTCAAGTAATTAGAAGTTAAATATTTGACAACGAGGAAACATGCTGACGAAAGTAATCACAATAATTAACATAGATTATATTTCAAAACTGACTTTTGCTATGTCAAAATTTTCCTTTTTAGATATCACTATTTTTTTAGAAAAAGTTGTTTTATCAATTGTATAGAACAATCCAATAAAATAATTCTTTTAAATGACGATCAACTTCAATAAATTCCTTTTACAATCGCTCATGCTTTCCTAGAATCTACATTTTCAATAAAAATCAACTTCGTTAACTTGGAAATTTCTGGCTCATCAAAATAATAAGTAAAACACGAACTATTCGTTCATAGATATTTTTATATTTCCTTCTCTTACGTAAGATACAAAATAAAACAGATTTATGATTAATACATATCAAGGTGAAAGAAAATAGATGACAACACATATATAGAAGAAAAAAAACAGAAAATAAAAATGCAGAATAATAACACAATGAACAAAGAGAGAAAGAAAGAGAAAAAACACTTTGTATGCCACGATGGATTCGTAGAAGTTCATAAGTCATTGTTGTTTCTGTTATGTTAAAAAATATATTTTTAAATTGCACATTGACAAAATAATTTTCTTTTTCTGTTCACCGGTTGCTCATTGTATGATAAGCAGAAAAAGATAGCGTAATTCTTTTTTATAGAGGAAAAGAAAACATTTAATAGGCAAATAACAACATAAAAATATATATATATATATATCTATTTATATATAAACAGAAAATTGGTTATTTTTTTAATAAACTCCACCAAACATTTCTTGGCTAGCATAGGTCATATAAATGAATCCATCATCATCCTTAAAAACAAATTTTGTAGAAAATAACATAGTATCATTATTAAATATGTGCAAAAATTACTTTATCATCACGATAAATTTCTGTCATGGACGTCGACATAGAAGCAATACTTTTGTTATTCACCAATAAATAAAATGCTTGATTGGCGTTTAGTTGCATTCGATTTCTAATTAGTTTTTGTTTTCATCTTTCAAAAAAATGTTTTTTTATTATTATTAGGTTTGTACTTACCGAATGATTGTTACAAATTGAGACATAGTCAATTCCTGTGGCACTAAAAATTTAGTTTTATCTAAAAAACTAGATGATCAAAACATTGCTTTTGAAAAATCAGTTTCGTTACCAAGAACAGGCAAACTTTTTTCTTTATGATATCGTTCAACGATAACTGGAATTTCTGAAATAACGATAGAAATAATTTTCAATGAAAAATTTTAAGAACAAGATATTTACTGTTTGGAAATTTACTTCGAATACCAGCAACTTCGTCTTTACGTATTGCTTTAACAAGAAAAAAAATAGCTAAAGCAAACAATCTAATCAATAAATAAAATATTTACCGAAACTTTTGCGTTGTTTGAAAGTACGATTATCTGCATTAGATGACGGTGGCATTTTTGTTGATTTATTGTAAAAAAAATATCTTGGCTATTGTTCGTATTTCAATCTAAAATATTTATAATAAAACAAAAACAAACTGATAGATAAGTTAAATTCATTCCATATCTTTTTCTAGATAATAGAATGACGTTATGCAAATAAAATTCTATTAGAATATGACATTATAATAGCAGCGAAAAATCTATCTATTTAACTTCATCGCAGGCTTCCAGTAGAAATATAACGTATGAACATGCATTTCCAAAAAGAAGAAATGGATAGTTGACTCGATCGTGCATTATACTTTATTCGAGTAATTGTGAAGAACTACTGCCGAATTGATAGAAAAGAAAACGAGAGAGTTTGGAAGAGAAAAGAAAAGGACGAGTCTAAAAACTAGCCTATTGCTGTTGTACTTCTTGCAATAGAAAGAAAAAGAGGAAAATGAGACAGGTTTTGCTACTCTACATCGCGTTCGTCATACTATCATTCTTTTATTATTTACCATATATCAGCATTAGTTAACAATTAACGACTAGTTGATACATGTTGCGCATACGTCCATACTTCAATGCACATGTCCTTATTTTTATACTTTCTTTTCTCATTTGCTCTCCTGTTCCAATATATGAGATACGGTATCTACTTTGTTTTTGTGTTCATGATTAATGATTAGCAATAAAAGTCAGATTAACCTATACTTAAAGTTTGTAATCATGATTTTAGAGAGAGAGAGGGAAAAGAATCCGAAAATCTTAGATGTTTTTCACTTATTTTTAAATAATATGATTCTAAGTATAGCGGACCTAACTGGTTGACGACTTAGTATCAAAAATAAAAAATAAAAATTGAAAATAATGAACAAATATGTGCATATTATTTTCGTTTCTAGTTCTAATAAACAAGAATCATTCTATAATAGAATAAATTCTACTGTACATACGTATATGGAAGATAATTATGTTAGCAGGTTCCTTTTCCGCACACTCTTTCTCATACATACATAATAAATAGAAGGCAATTGTACATATAAAGACGGAAATAAAATGTTTTAGTTCACACATTGTTTATTCTATTCGAATTATTTATTTAATTATAGCCAGTTTCATATGATGAATTCGGTCGATTATTTGCAGACGACGATGACGATGATGATTGTCTAAGATTATGATGTTGTTGATTATTATTCGACGAATAACGCGATGGCGAAACGAGACGAGCTTGATTTTGATGATGAGATAATAATGGATATAAAGAGTCATCAAGCGTATCTGTTTCACAATAAAGTTTTATGGTGCGTAACAAATAGTCTGTTTGAACAAGTAAATGATTAGCTGCTACGTAAACATCATCACGTTTACTATCGCGAAAGTAAGCTTTCAATGTATTACTAAAATTTTTACTATATTTGATAAATTCTTTTTTTTCGTTTTCCAATGCTTGTCGTCCTTCAGCTGTTTTAAAGTATTGATATGTATTGGATACGCTATCAAGTGTTTTTTTAATTGCGCTTGCTATTTCTTTGATTGTTTCAAGAAACTCACGTTTTTCATTAATATCATCAGGAATACGACTTAATATACGTTTAAGATTCTTTGAACGAACATTTAATTCATGAAATTCTTGTTCACCACGAGAAGATGATATAAAATATGATGATTTATCACAATATTTTTCTAATTTAAGCGTTAATTCATTCATATTTGTTGTTGATGATAAAGGTGACATTTCTTTATTGATAAATGATTGAAGAAAACTACGAGAAAAACCTGGATATAGCTCTTCGAGTTTGAAGAATGTTGTATGCAGATCAGATTGAATATCTTTATATCCCGATTTATCAAGTTGTTCGACAACAGGATAAATAATATTAGGTAAAGTAAGAGCATTTGTTGGCGCAGATGCTAATGTTACATCATCCATTGTCGCCATAATTCTTTATCTGAAATCTGATGTTAAAAAATAAATCAATAGAAAACTCATAAAATCTAGTGAGAAGAATATTTTCTTTAATTGAACGTATACACATACATATATATATTATTTCTTCAAAATCGAGCTCCTTCTCTAGGAATCTCATCATCCTGAAATTTAATTTCAATGAAGACAAAAAAAATACTTTAGTCATATTCAAAAAAGGACAAAAAACATTTATTTATTTATTCTAACGAATTTGAGTATTGTTCGCTGTTGTTGATGTTGATATTGCATTTGCACCAAGTTGTGTATTAGTACCCTCTATTTCATTGTTATTACTATTTGTTGCTGTTGACATTCCAACAGCATTATTTAAAAGTTGACTTTTTCTACGTTGAAGTCGTTGCCATGCAAGTAATTGCTGATCTTCTATATATCGACAATAATTTGCATTGACAAGTTCTTGCCGGAATTGTTCACGTTGTAATAAATCAAGAAAATACAGTGCTTGAGGATAATGAACATACTTTATATAGTTATCTTCTTTGAAATAGAGTAAATATTTTAAATAATTAATAAACGCTGGGTTTTTAAAATAATTTCTTTGAGCCAAAAAATTTAAGTATTGAGGATTTGCTAATGTTTGAACAAATTCAAGATCAAGTAAAAACCGTTGTCGGTCATCATTTACTACGGTTTGAATAAGATCCTCATTCATTTTTTTAAATCAAATTCAATGGAAGAAACTCGTACACAATCGGATTTCGTTTGTTTGTATCGGCCATACATCAATTTTTATAAACATCATAAAAGCCTCTTCAATAGGAGTTTTTGATTGGTTAATCATCTGACCAACACAAAAATGATAAGCTTGTTTGTTTGTTCATTATTTCATGAAAAAAAATTGACGTTCAACGTAAAATAATCCTCATTGTCGTTTGAAAATGTTAAAAAAACACCCACAGCTTCCATTTGAATTCGGCAGAATCAACGTTTTTCTTTAATAAACAAAAAATTTGTTTTGCGGTTGAAAGATTGAAGGATTTATGTTTAGTTTTTATTTTGTTGAAACGTTTTTTTAAAAAGGTATTAATAGTCTCCAAAAAAAGAGAAACCAAAAGCAGAGTTCTTCAAAATTCCTATAAATCTGTACTATTGATGATAGCAAACAACTGTACCACTATGTTCAATACAATACAAGTTCACAGCAGAGTACCTCAAAGTTACATACTAAAGAATTAATTAATAATAATAGATGAAGCTATTGTTATATACATCAATTGCTGTTACTCTTGTTGATTCATTGCAATATGTTCATTTGAAGACCATGATGTTGATTCATTGCAATATGTTCATTTGAAGACCATGATGTTGATTCATTGCAATATGTTCATTTGAAGACCATGATGTTGATTTTTTTTGGAAGTTCTAACACTCTACGCTTACAAATATAAGATAGAAACATTTATCACAAGATACAAAATGTACAGGCTTGAGAGAAAATTCTTGTTCTCGTGAGTTTACTTGGTACTGTAGGTTAGTGTTCTATCAGAATTTTGAAATCTATCTTAGCCTTTGTTGCGTCTGACATATGTCCTACAAGCCGTAGAAATATTATTCATATTTATTTTAAAAGTAATCTATGAAATCTGATACAAAGCATCGCACTGATGATGCGTGTTACAGTTATATTTAACTTTGAGTAATAAATGATGAATACCCAGATATTTTTGCTTCGATCTTGATACTCATAGTGGTATTTTTATAAAAACGTAGCTTCTCCCTATCGCATAGGGTCTGTACTATTAAATAGATCAGTAAATCTATCAACTTATGTTTTCCTATTACAAAGATAAATATTCCTAAGCACGATACTATGTTCTTCAAAGATTTTTTTAAATATCTGGATTATTTTGTTTCCTTGCTAAAAATATTGTTCTAGAGAAGAGTAGACCGAGTTTCATATACACTTTTAGTATGAATGTGTATGAAAGTTACTTTGCGATATCATTGCGTTGGAATTTTTGATGAGTACATTTCAAAAAAAGACATTAGTTCTTCTAAGAGATTATCAAATTAATCACCAGAATATTTCTCGCACGCTTCGTCTAATTTCAGTAGAACACAGAAAAAATCTTAATAAGTATCTTACTATGGCATTTAATTTCGATATAAATATGACAGTAAGATGTCAAAATTTTAACCGGAAAGCATCTTATACAAGTGGCTCGGCTCAAAGACGTAGATTTTATTTAATTTCCTTTCCGTTCAATGACCAATTATAAAACTAGGATCTCCCTTGCCCAACAACACGAAGGAATTGCGTAAAAAAAGGGGAAAATGAAATCAAAATAATACGAGACCTTATTAAGTTTGTAGCATATAGAGAAATTCTGCCAAAAATTCAGAAGAATCCGCCAATATACCGCAAACGTTTGAGAGAATCATGAAAATCAGAAGAATTTTAAGTCGTATCCCGACGTATGAAAAACCATCAGAAAAAAATGGTGGTTAGACAGACTTACGAATACCAGTGAAAAAGAACGATGATAATCAAAGAAAGTAAACTGGCCAGAATGAATTTAGAAGACTAGTTCATATGGAATTCCTTAAAATAACTGTTTAAATAAATGGTAATTTACATGGAAATATAGAATATTTTCGCAAATTAAATAAAAAATAATCAGATCGTACAAAATTACCAGTCATTTCTTGTATAACACAGGAAATTTTTATGTTTTGTTTTCTGGCGGACACCTCGAAAAGTGCTCAATCATAGCACTTGCCAGAGAAAAATGTTTAAGGTAAGAATCAGATCGAATAAAAAAGTTTAACATTCACAAGAGTTTCAGAAAGCCCCGATGAAATTTCTCACTCAAGCTCTTTAAGTTTCGACGGATCGAAAAACAATTCCACGACAATCAGAATATGTCGATAAAAACATGAAAGATAATTGATTAAAATTTAAGATACTCTATAACGTGTCTGATGGCAATATAAACGTTGACCTCCAAGAATGAAGTAAACATTTTTGTTTGTTTTTTGTACCTGTGAATGTGTAGGAGTGATAGATAGAAAAATAGAAGAAGAAGTAATCAATTTAATTGAAGAAAAAAAAAATTTATTCCATCTCATTGAAACGATCGTTGAATTATTGAAAAAAGCTTTTAAAATCTACTTGCTCAAGGCAGTAAAGAAAAGACCCGAGGAATAAACACTATTTAAAGAACGTAGACGTCATGCTCGCATACATATATTAATAAGTTTTTTTCACCTGTTAACTTTTATAAGAGTGAACGAAAATTAAAAACAGAAAATAATATAAACAATTTACTTAATCAGAATTAATTCTGATACTATATGAACATATTAATGTTTTTAAAAAAGTATTGAAAATTAGTGTCCTGCAACCCAGCCGGGTACCCGGACCTGACCCGGCGCCGAGTCCGGGTACGAAATTGCCGGGTCGGGTCGGGTGCTGGGTAGAAAAAAAATATCCGGCCGGGTACAAAATTTTAGCGTGCCCGGCACCCGACCGGCGACCAGTGATATCTAAACATTTTAAAATATTTCACTTTCCAGATTGTTATTGGTTAAAAAAGGAAACTTGTCAAAACAATTCAACTATACTATAAATCATTAATGAATTACGTATAAAGCACAAGAATAAGTTACGTAAGCGACGAACATATTGTTTTCTTTTTCTTCTAATCCGGACTAAACACTGAAATAATTCATTTGTAATTGACGTGGCATATTACTTTGCTTATTAAATTGTATGATCAAGTTCGTAAGAATTGACGAATAAAAAATATTTAAAATATTTTTTATTTTTATTTTAGAGTAAAAGTCATTGGCAATTGTAGCTGATAAACATACACAGTATTATTTTGCTTATTAAATTATATATACAAGTTTGTGAGAATTGAAGAATAAAACATATTTTAAATATTTATTTGTTTTTTTATTTTATATTAAAATTTCTTATTATGTGAAGGCCGGTCGGGTACCGGGTACGGCTGGTCGGGTCCGGTTCGGTTCCGGGTGCAAGATGGCCGGGTGTCAAAAAAGTGAGTCGGGTCGGGTCCGGGTACAAAAAGTAGTACCCGTGCAGGACACTATTGAAAATGCATATTGAACGCGTTATGGCGTAAATAATGGCATGTATTAGATATTTCTGTATTATACTCATCTATTGAGTCTATCTTCTAATTTAACACTAGCTATAACAAAAATCATTCATCTACAACATGGTCATAATCTTAATAGTGACTATTGTTGGTTAAACATAGTTGTTCAGATGAATAGAAACACAATTTAAATGGATTTTCTCGTATATAATGATTTCGACCTAAATAAATTATTGACGAAGTTAAGTCACATTTAGTAAAGCAAAGTACAGTTTTGCATTCATCTATTCAAATTGATAGACGGCTGGCTTCAGCTTTTAACTCGCTCGAGTTAACAAGTGAATTAAGAATTAAGACTGATATATTAGCCGTAGGGTCTATCTTGACAGTGTGGATGAAGTATTATTGGTACTATTCTGTTTTTACACAACCTGAACAAAATGTGTATCCACATCTGAATCTCGTGCATATTTAATATTGAAAAACAAAGTGACACTAAACATGTGATGGGATTAATTCTGATGTTTTTTCTGAACAACACAATTTTGAGTTGCATCAGATCCTAATTACATGCATTAAAACAAAAAAGCTATTAATCAGTCAAAGATTAAAATTACATGATGTAGATTTATTTTTTTATCTTTTTGGATTACTCAAAAAATCTTGGTGCTTTTATCTTCTACTACCTTTGCATTAGAATGTTTTCTTTGAAGATAAAAAGATAGAGGATTTTGCATTCCACAAAACTGTCGACATTGCTTTTCAAACAATTTTTCCTTGTCACCGCTAATAAATCTCAAAGATTTACGTCTAGCCAACCAGTCAATTGCGATTTTCTGTTTTCTGCCGACATTTATTTATTTGTGAAAATCTTTGGTTGTCAAGACACATGATCAAAGTGAACTATCTAATATGAAAAGATATATTTATATATATATATAAGTTTGTCCTCCATGTTACCGCGACCTTTTCAAACTTTCTGCTACTGATGTTCCGAAGAAAAAAAAGTTTTATAACTAACATCTGCAGACATTTGTTGGGTGTATTTTGGATAAACACGTTTTCAAAGCTTATACTCACTCTATGAGAGATTGATTACTATGCCATCAACTGTAAAATGTGATTCTGAACAGAACAGTAGAAGTGTTCAAGTGAATAGTGAAAACATTTAGATTTTTTGGATTAAAAAGAAATCATTGTATTGTCTTTCCAAAGAAGGAGTCTTTGGACGATTTCGCATTCTTTTTCTTTAGAACTCGTTCTCTCAAATATTTTTTCTGAAATTCTGAAACAAGTATCAAAAGTCACAGAATTTCATGGAGGATCCTGTGAGATAGTGGAACACTTAAAAGAACTATAATTATAAAATCAAATTGTCATCACGTTCTTGCTCTTATGAAAATTGTAATTGACAGGTCGAGTAGGCTTGAGTCTTTGAGATTTGGCGATGGCAAAGAAAATTACTTTAAAAAACAAAGTGGTCAGATTTGAAGAGGATAAAATTCTCTATATTTTTGCTTTCAAAGAAAACCTTCTAATCCAAAGGTAGCAGGAGATAAAGGCAACAAGATTTAGTGCAATTTCATCTGGAGCACCCGTTATTCAAATTCAAATTTTCTTCCATAATTTTCTTTACATGAGTATTAATGATGAATTCGGTTCGAAATGGATCAAGTAAAATTGTATTAACATATTAAGTTAAAATGGCTCTCACAATTAAAAGAATTGAAATAGAAGATCTGAAAACTAAGATGTGAACAGATCATTTAAAAACCTGAAAAACATTTTCATCAACATTAGTAAGTTTTCCGACAGGAAGCTATTTAGTGAGGTTAGCTTTATTTCCAAGAGGTAGCTCTCCATTGATTATCTGCCTGCAAGAAAATAATATATATATATATCGATCTTGACATTCATCTAAACACAAATGTTGAGCTGATCTTTTCGAGATGCATAAAAAGAAAATTTTCAATTCTTTATTATCTTCTAATACAGTTTAAAGAAAATGAATCATATTAATCAATCTATTTGTTACTTTTTTTCTAACTATATGCTTAGTGTGACTGAAGTTGACGTATAAAACTAAATTACATATTACTTTTGTGTAAACACTAAATGGCTGGAAGATACTCATTCATTGTAAATATCTTACTTAAATATGAAAACTATTTTGTTTACAAGCAATTTGAGTTGTGACATCATAGTGACTGGTTTGCGAGAAGATTTATTTTGTTGTTTCTATAGATATGAACTTTTTTAAATATTTAGATATTCGAATTCTTCTTACAATTTAGATACATAACAGTTGATGATCTTATTTCATACTAATTTATTAATTACAAATAAATATTTTATATGCATATGAAATTAATATTGATTGTTCAAAAAATCAATAAATAAAATTTAACAGTCCAAATCTTTAATATTAATAGAACGAATCCAGTTTTACATTGAATCGAGATATCAACGATACTTTCCTATCTTATTGAGGAATATGTTTAAGAAGTATTCAATAGTTGGCTTTGGCTATTAATTGAAAAGTATAGACACGATCTAGTTAATTAAGAAATACAATATTATCTATGTCTACTCGCACAGAAAGGTATCAGTAATATGCTTCCGCTCTGTTTACTTCTATAGAAGTATAAGTATTATATATGAATTATGTTTATACACATAACTAAAGTATTAGCATGAAACTAACAGGATATTATTTATTTTTATTTTGATCTTCAGAAAACAAACATTCATAAATTGATACGTCTACGTGTACATAGATTTTGTCTTGAAATAGGTTTTAAACGTATTGAAATTAATACACGTGGATTGTGACGAATATTTGTGGTTGAACATATATCATTATCACATTTTTGTTGATAAGTTCCGTTCCGTTGTTCATCATACTGCATTATTGCCATCATTGTTTGTTGTCTCAATTGATGATTATGAAAACAATGACAACGACGACACATCATTTTTAATGTATAACGAAATTTACGATTTGTCAATGAATAGATAATAATATTTATTGAATGATTAACAATTAATAGTAAGTTAGATAGAAAAAGCAAACAACCAAAAATCATCGCTGGCATATATCCACATGGGTTACTATTTACAAGACTCAGTATAGTTAAAATTAATACCGGTAATTGACATATAATGTTAAAAAAACATATAATTAATACCATTTTAGTGATTTTAGATTTTGATTTTAAACGCTGTGCGACTATTTCTGAATGTAGTATAAATTCGTTTGATTTTTTTAAGCCAATTTTATGGCTAACAATTCGTATAAGTAATATCCAAAGAACAACACATATGATCCATGGTCCTAATATGGATAATATTCCTGATATAACTTTTATAACATATTGGGCATTGATATGAGAACGATAATAATAGTAAGGGACTATAGATAGAATACTAAAGAAGAAAATGATAATTAGTGCTTTTTTTTCATTACGACTTGAACAATAAATTTGTGAATAAAGAGGTTTAACAACAATCATCAATCGAAAACTTGTTATTGTTACAACTAGAAAATAAAGAGCAACATGTGGTTCTTTTTTTTTCTAAAAACATTTAATTTATTATTACCAATCCAATTTGAACAAAATGTTGCACCAGTTGCGATCGGCATAATATATAAATTAATAAAACTTATTATGTCATCATTTGTTGTCGAACCATAATAGTAAATAATGTGTGGAATACAAGCAAGGGTTGGGGCAACTATATCACTTATAGCAAGGCCCTGTAAAAGATTATTTACACCTCCTTTACGCATTAAACGACGATTGAGAACTACTAATGTAACAATATTTCCTATGTAAACAATGATATTTCATTCGTACATCTATTGATGACGTTAACAATATACACTTACCTATATTACCCGATAACATAAAAATGATTTGTATTATGCCCCATATAATTCGACCGGACAACCCCTCAAGTAATTCATTAATTAAATCATCTATGGAAGAGAAAAATGAAAGATTTTTTACAAAAGCAACATAACATTGTTGATATACCTGCACAGATTGTTGTGTTGTCTAATAGTGTCGATGATAAATATTCGCTATCAGGCGGTGTCAGTAATATAAGGGATTCTACTGAAGTATTTGTTGACATTACGATTTTACCCTATTATACAAATGATTTCAGTTTGTTTTTCTTTCAAATGAACTCGATGATATTGTCCTTTTGTCGGATCTCTATATAGTTTATATAAAAAAAAACTCCATTATGTACATTATTAAGAATAGAAAACGCATGCAATATATTCAATCACGCTGCCAACAATTGATATAATGAACTAACGAAAATTTACTACGAGATGAGCAAAAATAGCATGTGATATCACTAATTAAATGTAAAAACAGTAATAGGTTGAAAGAGAATCAAATATATATATATATATGCATGTATATATTGTAAATGTTTATGTAAGAGTCTTTATCTATATCAAAGAGAAATATTTATGAAGCGTGAATATATTTTATAGGTAATAGCTAAAGGGGATCTGAAAGAATAAATTAGTAAATTGAATACGAAGAAGATAGTTTTACATGTGTTGCACATAGAATTGATTAAAAGCCTGTCACCGCTATTTATTCGTTATAGTTATAAAAAAAGTGCAATAAGTTGTTGGAATTAAGTAGTATATATTTAGACTACTGGCAGGAAAAAAAGAACAAGAATGAAAAAGTTTTCATCTTTGCCTGAAAAGAAATTCTTGCATGTCTTGTTGCCAGCATACTAAGGCTAAGAGAAAAAAATTAGATAAAACTACTCATTAATGATTTAAAATATCAAAGATGTAATTATCATAGTATAAATCTTTTAACCTGTATATAAAAATATTTTCATATTCCACCCTAAAATGATTACGTAGCAAAAACAAGATTTATATTTAATATAATTAGATGGAAGACATTCGTGGCGTTAATCTCCTACATTGTTTTCCATTAATTGATTTATGGTGGATAATTTTGTATATATAGAGAGATATTCAAAGCTGCTCATACTTCCAAGAAAATCATAGTACCAAGTATTTTTAAAGGATAACAAAAGAAAAATATTTATGCATCTAACTATTTCAACGTGAGCATTCTCGATGAGCGATTAAACAATTGAAAAATAAATATGTTTAATCTCACCAAAGTATGAAAACATTGAATTTTTTAATGAAGAATAAAGTAATTCTCTCTTTTGTTGCTTGGTTAAAATAACTAGAAACATTTAATCGTTTTGAATTTACTTACGTACAATAAAAAACTTGACTATAGTCTCCGATCTAATCAACAATATATCTTACAACTTCTTGATAGTACTGATATAGATCTTCTTGACTAATTTTCATATAAATTTTATGTCAGTTGTCTTTAGCTAAGATAAAAAATATAAATAAATGACCTCTGCCTTGAATAGATCTAAAATTTAAAAAAAGCGAGATCTATTTCAAAAATTCTCATGTAGGAACAGCTCGCATCATCTTATACGCCAGATATAGTATATAAGAGCTTTCTAGTAAATGTCACGTCAATCATTTGATGAAATAGAACGTGTAAATTGACTTAGTGAAATAAGATTTTTCTATCATGTATCTAATATAAGAATCAATAATTTTTTCTTATGGTACAAGAGTTAAACCTAATGTTGGTTTATCGTAAATATTAAAAATAATAAGCAGTAAAATAGTTTATGAAGAGTTTGTTCTAATAATAAAAAATGAATAAAAATTCGAACCCTATTCGACAATACATATTGATCAAAGAAATAAAAATATTCTACTTGTCTCTAATAGGTGATGCTATATATATATATATGCTTCTGTTTTAAAAATATCTACAACTATGAGAGAAACCATTCACGTAAGTAATAGAAAAATATTTAATAACGAAATTGCGGATATTTATTGAATAAAGGCAACATCTGTTTCTTCTTCTATGCTTCTTAAAATATGAAAATATTTATGGTCGTTAATGTACTATTTCTTTTTCCGTGATGATTTTAAAGTTTAACTTATTGATACAGTGAAATATTCAAAATAAATTTATTCTATTTTTCTCTCTTTTGGATAATAAGTCGTCTACACACCTGAGTCGATGATTCAATGAGTGACTCTATATGTCTAGTATTTTTGTTGTTCATGTAAGTAGTCTACCATGAAGAAATCGATTAATATATATATATATTTGAATAATGTTATCGAATGCTCGGGGAACATTGGGCACAGCATAATACAACAAGAATATGAATGATTTATCTTTATGATTCGAATAACCATTGAGATAATCTAGAGTAGTAAACGTTATTTAGAAATTTCGGAACAAGTCAAAAGAATGACAAAGAAATTTGACTAGAATTGAAGCATCAATTCTGTCATTATTTATCAAAAAATAAAAGAGTAAATTTAAAATATAGATTCTAGTTGTTGCTTACATTGTCAAAGTTAATCTACATTCTCGTTAGGTATTCTCATAGGAAATTCTTCTTCACCTTACTATTGTTGAAAGAGAAAATTGAGCACCTGTAGGCTCAACTTCTATGACCGATGAATGTGTGAATAGTGTATTTCTATTTTTATTTGTGCATTTTAGAAATAGTGCTTTTTCTCTATGATAAATATCTTAAAGTTTCAATGAAGTATGGCATTTAAAATCTTTGTTGAAATCCAACAAAAAAAAAGTTAAAACTGATTATAAATCTAGACACCATCAATATAATATTGCAATTTTTTATCGATAAAGTAGGATGAAGCAATGGCAGTTCAACTAATTCGATGGTTCATCAACGAACCAATGAAAGATTTGAACAATCATGAATGGATCTCAATTATAGAAAAGCTTTTCTTTTAAAAATGATCGATTATTTAAAACGTACACGTTCGATTGACTGACTGATGATTGTATTGAGGCACGTGCCATTGCTACATTACAGTTCATTGATAAGAAGTCAAATGTAGCACGTTTTGTTTCAGATTTAGCTTTAGCCAAAAAAAAATGAGATTGAAGGAACTATCATTGTGGATGTGAGCATCTATATATATATATACAGAAACCAATTCTCTATAAAATTATTTTTCCGGAAATAGAAAAGAGAAAATAGGAAATTCTATAATTAAACATATCACGCAAAAATCTTCAAAGATTCTATCTTCTACTATTTAGATATCGTTCACTACATGTTCTTTGTGCTTGATTGTTTTGAACGTCGGTTCCTATCCGATCAGATAGATAAAATAGTAACTAATTTGTTAACTAGAAAATCTTGTGCATTTTGCCATTGTCTTATCAAGCACGATCAACAGATTCAAATTATATTTCCAAATAATTTTCATTCCTATCTTTTTTCTTTGATTATTGAAGAGACAAAAGTCATCACGAGATTAAAGATGAAGAAGAATTCATGTTCAAGTTGTTAAGATGATCTGCTGATGTCAAATGACGAGTGCTATCGATGAATGTGTAATTAGTTCTTTTTGATATATTTTTTTCGACAACTTTGATGTACTTTTCAAAAACATTTATGAGAATAGAAGTATTTACATCGTATTGGCCGCTAGATTTTGCTGCGCTTAACGAGACCAAAATTAACAACGATAATTGTTTTAAGAATGAAAAACGTGCAATATTTTCTAAACCATAGAGTATTCATTTGTCGCTAGTGTATGTTATCAACATTGAGACGAACATTAAGTACATAAAAGATGCATCGTGATCTATCTACTAACGATTCATCCGTCGTGCTGTTTACGAATGTAGTTCTTTATAATTGACTTTATTTAACATTATCAAATTATATATTTTTTTCTAGTAGTCTATTTTTTCGCAGTCATTTTTCGCTCAGCAATCCTTAGAACACACGTCAACAGACTGATTGTTGTTCGATAATCAATTACTTCAATATGATCAATACTGAGATCAAACGATGTTTGAACAACAAGAAATATCAAGACCCAATCGTTTTTTTTACTTCAGTACTAACTATTAATAATTTAAGTTCACATACAAGAACATAATAATCGTTCTTACATGAAGAATATTCGAATTAAAATATGATTGTATCTATTATATTTGTGCATAATGCGAGAGATATTAACTGAGTAAGTGAAAAAAAAGACACAGGATTTAAATTCATTCGTTCATAAAAAATACGGAACAGATTGCACAAAAGCAACGCAGAAAAGATCTCATCTTAAATACTACTGTAACTTTATGAACATTCTTAAAGCTATATTTATGCCCAGTCTCAAAAACAAAATGAATGAGACTCTTTTAATTTATTCATTAAGTCAGCTTTATACTACGCAAATGCTAATAATCAATAAATTAGTATTCAATACGAATTTTACAAGAAATTAATTTTCAAATTATTCATGTGTGAAACCAGTGTTTTTTTTACACATAGAATGGGTTGGTTTATTTCTGATGCGAATAAATAAAAAAAAAACATTTTGGTCACGTAGTGATGAGTTTTTCTCCAGAGAATCAGAAGTCAGTTTGCAGTAAGATAAACACTATTTTATTACCAACTGCTGTTGTCTAATTGCATCGTTTTTCAAATAAAAATTTGTCTTTCTTGCTCTCATATCATCAATTAAAGTGAAATAGTGTAGTAAACGATTGATACAAATACAAGATACTTATATTGATTCAAAAAAAAAATATTCAAGAAATGATCGACAACAATCTTTTAGAACTATCTATCAATCGATTCTAATAGATTTTGCTTTCAACAATCAAATGTCAAGCTATTATTCATCTTAGCAGCGTTTCTTTGTTCATGATCATACTGCTGTTAGACAACATTTATTGCTCAATATATTGATTGAGATATCCTCCATTGTTGCTGTTTTTCTTTCTAATCTCTGATTATAAAATTCAATTGTAAAATTCATTAAATACTGCATCGACTCTTATGGAAACCCATCTACATGTTTTAACTACAGACAAATAAAAAAAGAAAAAGTCAAATCGGGCTCTCACTTATAACAACAATAGAGCTCATATTTCTCTTCTTTTTCTTCCTTTTTCTTTCGCTCCTTTTTTACTTAAATAAAACAAAAAATATACTAAAAGCAGAAGAAAAAAATCGAAATGGTTAACATTCATTTATACTATTGAAATACTTTCAACAACATCTGTCTAGTGTAAATAAGAACTAGTGCAGTCAAACACAGACGTATCACGAGTAACAAACAACAGCTGGTTGACTACCGTTTAATTTGCATTTAGAAAAACAAAATCATCGACTTAAATAAATGGAATTATGTTTAACTTTGTTTCCAATGACAACAATAGATGCGCTTAATTTTTAAATCAAAATAGAAATTCTTCAATCATGGGTAATGGTAATATAACTGGTACAAAAAACGATCAAAAACAAAAATCAGCTGGATTAAAAAATAAACAATTTGGAGATTTATTTAATCGAAAAACGTCTACAGATAATTTAGTATTTTATGCTTGTACGGATAAAGCTCGAGTGTAAGTGAATAAATAAATAAATAGATAATTTTCTCTTCTTTTTACTTCATGTTTTTTACATATTGTATCCTTATAGCATAACAGAAATACTGGAAGAACGCGGTTGGTCTCGTACAAGAGATCAAACTGTAACTAATTTTACTATAAAATGGTGTCTTGAACATCAAGTTGATTGGAACAAATTTCAAGAAGGAAAACAATTAATTAATAATATACCTGGTCAAATAACATTTGCTGATAAAGTTAATTTATGGTACACAATAAGAGATTATTTGAATCATAGACGGAGTATAGTTGGAAACAATATTCAAACATTTCTTCCCATGACATTTGTCCTTGACGATGACAATGAAGTTGCTGAATTTTTACGTGTTTATAAAAGTAAGAGAAGAAATATTGTTTCGTAATTTAATAATATAGCGAATATTAAATATATATGCTCTTTTTGTCGGTCATAATAATTGAAAATCTAATATTCAACATTTTTCTCCTTAGTATGCTTTATAATAGGATACGATCGAACTAAAAGAAAATCGATTCATCCAAAGATCGATTCTTCTTCTTTTTCTTCTTCTGCTGGCTAAATCAGTCTGTTATAGCAGAGCAATTGATTCCATAAAAGTTTTTATCTGAAGGCAATTCAAGTTTCTATGCTAATCAAGAGGACATCTCGGTTCGGTCCCAATCGGTCCTTTTTCATATCGGTTCGTTGCAAACATGTCTTATTTGAGTTCTGCTCACTTAGGTCCCACTCTTATTTCGGTCCCTCTCTTTTGCACGTGATGTTTTCACTGGAAAAAACAAATAACGGAAGATATTAATGCTCAACGTCGTACTCTACTTAATGATCATAATATAGGTGAAATTACGGATTTAGAGTTGGCAATTTTATGTGGAAAAACAGTAAAAACAAAGCCAATAAAATAGAAAATTCTTTTCTTCGTGTCTAAAGTAATATCTTCATTTTTTATGTATTATTTCTCTCTCTGATATTGGTCTTATTCATTGTATACATGATGACTATTCAAATATATCCAATAAAATTATATCTCTCTATTAACTATTCAGTGGGGACCTGAGTGAGACATCATTATTTATATCCTGATTGTTATAGAACCCAAATAAGACACGTTTGCAAGGGACCGATATGAGAAACGATCCATTGGGACCGAACCGAGAGTAATCTCTAATCAAGTCTAATCACCATGAATAATTCTTATTTTTAATTTCACTTTATCGCTCATTAGTAAAAAGAAACATCACATAATTATATCTGTTTCATTGAAAATGTTTGCTCAAATATAAATTAAAATTCACAATAATTATTTAGTTCAATATAAAAGACAAGCAAAAGACAATAGGTTCTTCTTAAATATTTCATATTTTGTTATACTACAGCGAAGCAATTTTATCAAGTCAATTTTCTTATTTGAAAGAAAATGAATGATTACGTCAACATGAAGAATTTCATCAGATCATTTACATAGTATATCACTTGTAGAAAGAAAGAAAGAAAGAAAGAAAGAAAGAAAGCAGTACGGCGTATAATAAAAAAATTGAATAAAAAGAAAGAAAACTTGCTCTTCACTGATTTTTAGTTCGTCCCATTTGCAAATATCGTTTAGTAGGGTTTTAACGAGTTGATCAAAAGTTTTTAATGAACTGGTAATTTTCAGGATACTGTTTTACGTAGTGAGTTACCAGAATCGTGAGAATAAAAGTGACTTCAATTTTTTGGTTTCACTTCTAAAAGATTCTATATTTGATCGCATACTCGTTGGATTCAGTATGTTGTATAGTTTCGTTCTTATTTTTGTTCTTCGAATAACAAAGCTATAATATCGAAGATACCCTACAAAGCGCATGTTTTTTTTTCGAATAGTTCTTTTCCTGTAAGAGGTGACAATAATTATTGAAACAACAATATTTTAGAATAAAAACAAACACATTCATCCTGAGTAGTCCATGAGAGATATGAAAAAGATTTTATCTGGACCGAATACAATGCATTCAATGCACTGCAATGCACGAGTTCGGACGTTTTTGTACTTATGTTTCATGAGAAAAGGGCAAAATACTTTTGAGTTCTCCGTGTTGCCATTAAGTGAATTTGAAGCTCGGTAAGACGTTTTAACGTTTACAAACAATCCTTGAATCTCAAAATCAATAGATGTTACTTTAGACGATGCATGGAGTGTAATAAGACATCAAAAAGAAACAAAAAACATGATATTTTCGAATCAACAAACGATGAACTATTCTTTAATGAAATCAGATGTCTTCTTACTGGAAATCCAAAGCTAGAAATTTTTTATGTTGACCTACTCTTACGTAATGCTCGTAGATATCGTGCTAAAATGTTACAATGTCTTTTTCTGTTTTTTCTGATGCAATAAAATAAAACCCTTGTCTTCTAAAACATGAACTAAAAGTATTTTATGTCTGTAATTGGTAATAGGCATCAATGTACTCTTGTCTTATGATCTCTTTCATCATTAGGCAGTTTCGTTGCGTTCTATCGTATGGTATTTTTTCATGTAGCATTTTTTAAATTTGTATAGAAGTGCAAACAATGAAGAAAAAATAATGACTTTGTGAAGTGCTACGTGCTTCGAGGTCGTTAAAAACTTTTGAATATTCTTCTACCATAGCTGTTGATTATTTGGATGAAATGTCATGGTTACAAAGAATCCTTACACGATCTCTGATTTATTCAAATTTATTTTCAACACAAAATTTTATGAAATTTGTTCCGGACAGTAGCACCTCGCATAAACAAAAATCTAATGAATCCCACTAAACCGTAGCAACCACAGAACTCATCAGTGCCAACAAAAATCCGAAGAAATACGTGGAATATCATCAGAATAGAAAAGTATTTTACTTGATATTATTTTAAAAAAAAGTACAAATCAAACGCTAAGAATTAATGAATTGACAATGCGTGGGAAAAAAAGCAATTATCATTATTTCTTGACATCAAGATATAGTGTTAAATTATTTGGTTAGAACTAACTGTTTCTAAATCTTGATGGAGTCTTTCTGGCTATTTGTTTATTTTCAGCACTTTTTTTTCGCATAACAAATTTACTCTTTTTTGTTGGAAAAAAACTAACATCAATATGAATCAAATACAGATGAACATTTGAAATCAACTAATCTATGTTGAACAAGATAGTAGAAGAGTGAAATAACACAATCATGAAAGTCAATGTAACGATTGAAATATTTCTATTGTAACTAAATGAATTATCCTACGAGATTGATGATAGCCAGTTTTGGCTTGATTCCATCTCGTTCATGATTCTGCTGTATTCTTGTCAATAAACACTAAAGTTTCTATATAGCCTAAGTAAAATATATTATTTCATATGAAACGAAAAATTAATTTGAAATAAATACAAATTTATTGAATGTAACATTTTTTCACTTGGTAAACTCAAAAATAATCCAATCTTCTTGCTCTAATTGTAGAGCAAACTCGAACTTGGATATGCAAACCACGTTATAGTTATGCTGGTCAAGGGATTCATGTTATATCAGTCAATTCTGATTTGGAAACAATATTTAAAGTGAAAAATGTTGCTGGTAATCGTATACAACATCAACCCAAATCACCCGGCTATCTAATGCAAGAGTAACGTATGATAATCGTTTATCTCCACATGAATATTATAACCAATTTTTCGTTTGTTTTCTTGCCAACGCAGATATATTTCACGGCCACTTCTTATTAAAGGTCGAAAGTTTGATATGCGTGTGCATTGGCTTGTTGCGTGGACAAAGCCACTACTAGCATTTTATAACCATCATGCATCAGTGATACGTCTCTCACTTAATCTATATAGAGAATTTGATTTCGATCGTGCGACGCATTTAACTAATTTAGTAATTTAACCATTTTTATTTTCTCATTATTTGTAAATCATATAATTCCTTTTTTTTAGTCAATACAAGAAAATCATCATCGTTATGCATTTTCACAAGAAGCGACAGGAATGACTATGCAACAATTGAAGTAAACGAAATCCTCATCTGTCTGATCTCATGATGATTTTACTTTTCTATAGTCAGTATTTTAATCAATGTTTTCGACCATTTCATCCAAAAATGCCTCAAGATTGGGTGATGACTGTTATGCAGGTAAAAAAAAGAAACAATCATTTGTAATTAAAAAAATTCCATTTACCTTACTATCACATAGTTTCAATGATCATAAGTAAAATGAGTCGAGTTTTCTCTACTTTAAATTATAGATGTATTTCATCTTTAAACTATATTCTACCAGATGGGACAGCAATTCGCTTGTTCTCAAGAGTAATAGTTGAGAAGTCAGCGTTCTACGCTACTTATTTAACTTCATTCTAACTAAATACTACTTCACTAATTAGAGATATTCAGTCGCGTTAGTCTACTCGACTTTAGATAAGTTTAATTAAGATGAGTGAGACATCTCCATTTCTGTATCGTGAATATCACACAATCAGCTCCTCCTCTAATAAAATTATTTTTACCATGAAGATCGATGTTGCAGCATTGAATGAATTTTCATGATTCAATTTGACCTAGAATACTGAAATATAAAACATATTATAGATGCATAATATTAACCATACAAGTGAACCTTGTTGTTTCACTAATGCCAACTATACTTTTATGAGATTAAGAAATATTTAAAGATCATCGAACAAATATGATTATTATCTGTCAGAGTGTTTTCGTTTGGAATCCTACCACCATTCATTTGTGATGTATCTTGATCTGTAAAATAATCTCTAATAAAAATGTAACAAATTAAGTAACTTTGATTGTTTATTTCTCAGCTAGTGCTATTTAGCAACAGAACGTTCTCATGTCATTTACAACAATAGCTATAATCAAAATGGCATACTTTTCGATAGCAATATTTACTCTATAAAGTAGAATCAACAAGCTTCAAATCAAATATCAGACCGTATGATTTGTTGTACCGTTTTAAACACCACGCTCTCCAATATTGCTAAATGTTAAAGAAAGAACTGGTAATTTTGAAAGATTTTTGAAAAAAAATCATTTCGATACTATCGTCGAGTAGTGTAGTGACGTTCATTGAACTAAATAGAACATTGACTACATTATTTATTAGCATATATGTAAAATCAAAAGCCTCATGTCAAATTTTCATCTTATGCATGACTTTGCTATCTCTTCCTACTGGATGATTATTTCATCGTAATGAATTTTTTTCGCACGTCTATCATTAAAAGGGAGATTACTATTTTGAGATTTAATTAGAAATCATTCAAAGAAACAGTACTCATCATGATTATCTATGATTAAAAATCATCCTTATTTACCTTATTAACATCAAAATACTTTTAGACTAAGTAACTGCTTAAGAGTTTCTTTGAGAAAAAATGAGGCATCAAAAAGTTATTATATCATGGGCATTTGTTAAGAATTCTCTTTTTAAAAATGAACAAGCTATGTTAGTTTTACGAAAAATGAGAATATCATTACAGAATCTATGATTAAAGTCATTGTCACTAATGAATGAAAATTTGTCAAATATTAAATTAGATTTAAAATGAATCAGCTAACAAGAATCGAAAAATAATTTATTAGACATACTTATGTATTTTATATTTTGTTAAATCTTGAGCATCTATTGTCTAGGATCGTATGCAAACCATCATTCGGCAAGTTATACGTGCAAGTAAAAGTAAATTAGAACGTATAGCAGGCCATTTTGGTTTATTTGGTTGCGATTTTTTACTTGATGAAAATTTTCGATTATGGCTTTTAGAAGTAAATGATAATCCTGGTGTTGGGTAAGTTCATTTCATATCTAGGCATCGAATATAGAAGATTTCTTTTTCGTTTATTTTTCTTTTCGTATACAACATAGTTGGGGCAATACACAAGTAAATATAACAACAAAGCCGTTATTTGAAGAAACACTTAATATTGTATTTGAATGCTTCGAAAAGCATTCAAACGGTCAGTCTTTATTACCAATTCAATGTTTAAAAAATTACCAACTTATTTATGATGAAAATAATGATACTGAAAAGATTCTTCATGATGATAATCAAATATTTAGTGAACGTTCATCAGTACGTCCTTTGACGAGAGATTTTTCGGTACGTTCATCTTTGACTCGTACTGCAACTCGTATAAAAAGTGGTCAAACGTCCACAGCAACTTCTACAGTTGTAAATAGCGATATTATAATTCCATTGACTATTGAACCAAATTTCGATAGAAATATTAATTCAAAAGAAACTAAAGAAACAATGAAACTGATTGATAATCATAATATTGACTATGAACGTTTGGCCAAAATGAAAGATTTGAGAGCAAGATATACATTTCGAATACGAACGCATTCACTAGATAAATTCAATGATATTAGTATTAAACGATCACTTTCATCAGGCACTCCAGTAAACATCATACAACGAAAGAAATATCTTGATTTAAAACTAGATGTTCCAGATAAAAAACGTAATATACAAAAAACGAGCATTATAATTCCGACTTTTACACAAGGAGATAAAAAGGAGAACGCAATAATTATTGAAGAAGATGAACGAGAACAACAAAGTCTCTCAACAGTACCATCGTCCAATATTGAACTGAATGGAAATGGGAATTCAGCAACCCTTTGTGCTGTTCATTAATATGTCTTCCTATTTATTTCTATTTTTATATTGAAATAGATTGCTGTTGTTCTTTTTGAAATTATCAATATATTAAAATAAATTGAATGAAAATTTGTTTAAGAAATAAGAATTTAAAATTTGCTTGCACCGAATACAATTTTAAGAAGGAAAAAATTAATTTATTCAAAAATACACATGCGTATTAACATACATTGCCGTTTTTCTACATGCAAATATAATCATTAAATAATAAGGTTTGACAAATCTTGATAGTTATATGTTTTCACAGAACGATGAAATCGAATCGTATAATCAAGGTTGTAACTTTAGTTCCAAAATCATTAAAACTAATGGACATGATATAATTAGAAATAAAATAACAGATGAATTTTGGTCGGACTGATATGAGCAATTACAAAGACAGTTTGGTTTTCATCGATTTTGAAAATTACGCCTCTTACATTAATAACTATTGATGCGCGAAGAAGTATGACAATATTTCTAGTTATCGAATAGTATTGATTAAATTAAAACATAAATAAATCTATTCCTTGGCCCTTATTTTGATGTGAGACTGAAAATTGAAACTCTCAATACAGAAGTTATGTTTACTAATGAAAAGAAAGGAAATTTAAATTCGTTTAAATAGAATCTTTCTATGAATATTGAAATATTTTATACGTAAATAATTAGTTAATCTTTTGCATTTGTTGTAAAGACCATTCAAACGATAATATTAATAATAATAATGTTCTGCTTCTAATGTTGATGCAGATATATCATCACGGACTGATATTCTTTTAGATTTTTCTTTATTTCATTTTTGAAATTCAATGCGAGTGAAAAGATACCATTGTATTGTTTTTATTTGCTAAACTTCTTTCCAAAAAAAAAGATCTACATAAGAAATATGTAGGGCTAGCCTTGAGAAGAATCGATAATTACGGAAAAATAAACTTATCCCACATATCTCTTCTCAGAATGAAAACCCATTTTGCCAAGTGAAATTGACTAGCAATGAATCCGAATTTTATTCCCCTTTGATGATCTATACAAAACAAATGTAAATCTTCAATATGTACATGAGTGTTTTGGTAGTCTGGTTTTAGTTTTAACATAAATTGTGCAAATCATAAATGTAATCTGAATGACAAACATTTTCTTCTGCTTTGAAATCCAACAAAAATGTTGCAATAGCTTTGAGAATAAGTCGAAATCTCTAATTAGTTTCATTAAAAAACATACATCGAGAATATTTTCAATAAATACTATTGATACTGTACAGTAACCTATCATATCATACTTGATCTTGCTTGAAAAATTTAATTTTTCATATATCGATTCTCGTTTATTTAAAATCGATCTATGAAATTACCTTGATTATTTATATAGCTCTTGACTTCAATTTACAAAAAAAAATAACAAATAATGAAATAGCCATTAAACGGTTAGTGACATATTCATGTCTTGTTTATCTTTTTCGATCTTCATTTTCAGCTACACACATGTCATCAAGTATAAAAAAGAAACGTACAATAACAACAACAACAACAACAAATATTATAAATGAAGTTTTTCTTCTTATGCCATAGCATCATCATCTTCATCAGCTTCTTCCCTGCCGGATATATAAAGAATATTGTTACATCGAATAAGGACTTCACCTAATGGACCTTTGTTTTGATCATCAATATATTCTACAGCATTGCCTAATTGTACATTCATATATTGATCAACACTAACAAGAACGCCTACAGTTTATTGAAAAAGAAACATTAATTATCATATCAATACATAATATGGCTATTTTACTTACCCTCATAAGTCATACCCCATTTGAGACGCACAAGAATTTTTTTTCCAACTAACTCATTAATGTATGGGCGTGGATTGAGCGGTGTTTTCATTTGTGTTGTTGCCATGATTTTTTTTTAATAAAAAAGATCTAAAAGATAAATAAAACGATGTTATTCTTTGGATGAAGACATATTGAATGTGATTCTTTTTATTTAAGTCTTTCTTTCTTTTTTTATGATGTTATGAAAAAAGACATTTTATGTTTCATACAAAACAAAAAAGAAAACAACGATTTTAAATATCATTGCGTATGTATTCATATCTTAATTTTCTTCACGTTTTGTAAACATGTATGTGACACAGCATTTACCACAATAATTACGATCATGATGTGCGGCCATGAATACACCAGCTCCACATTGTTTTGATGGGCATTCACGTCTTAAACGATGGATTTTACCCGTATCTTCAACCTTAAACAAATATTAGGAATTTATAAAAATATAAAAAACATGATCTACTATTCTCATTTTACTTTGTAGTATTTAAGTACAGTCAATTTAACTTTCTTTCGTTTATGTTTATTTTTCTTTGGTGTATTGTAGGATTTCTTCTTACGTTTTTTGCCACCACCTTCAAGATCGAGTAAAACATAAAGTGTACTTTCTTCTTCAATATGACATTCATTGAGTGTTAATTCGTCATCTAATGATATGCCACCTAATGTTAAACGTTGTTCATCAGCGGGTATGCCTAAAGATATCAATATTAATTAATCAAAATAAATATTCTTGACAATATTTATTTCATTGAATTATATACCTTCACGCTGTTCAACAATTTCTTTGATTTCATTTATGGTGTCTTCAGATTGAACATTGAGTGTTAATGTTCGATCGTCGAGAGTACGCACATAGATCTGCATAACTCTTGGATTTATCTTTTATCTTGAATAAGAAAGAAAAACAATTGTTAATATTGAAAGCTTCCCACATGACTTCACAAATTAATAAAGAAAATTAATTAATTAGAAAAAATTATTCTTAGTCTTGTTTAATAGCAGTTTGTTTTTGTCGATAATTTGCATCCAACTGACAAACAAAATCAATAATACCATTGGCAAATACCTCCAATACCAAGTGAAATAAACACACTATGAAAACGTATATTTTTATTTTAATATAAGCAATGAGACAGTATGACCAAAACAGTACGAATAAAGTCCATAAAATCATTGCTAGACGACGCTGAAATCGTACATTTGATTCGATTTTTCTATTTTCAAATGTGTTTAACAGTGGATCGAATTGTTTTGTCATATAAAATCTAGTAAAATAAAAATACAAAGGGATTTAAATAAATACAATAAAATGAATTCTATGCACTTTTTCAGTCGATTTTCTTTTTCATCCCAACAGTTTTGTAACCATTCACCAATTTTTTCATCTTCTTGTGGTAAATCATTTATAGAATAGCGTTTAACATGAAAATGAACTACACTTGGAAAAACACCTTTCAATAAATCAAATTCTGTTATTGGAAAATCTCCTTCATAACCAATTGTTACATCATCAATATTATCAATCATATCGTCTAAATAGTATAAAAACGTAAGTAAATTAAATAGTTTTCTACACTTTGCACCTGATCGCATTGTATTAAGTAAATATGTGAATCCTGTGATATGTGGGTGAAGACAATAATAATATGGCCTATTGTAGTTCGTTTGTTTTGAAGCGTAATTATTACTTTTTATTCTTGTTTCATCGTTTAAATTTGTTCCTTCCGGAAAGATTAATAGCTACATATACATACGCACATATTTTGACAATGGCTTTCGTCTTAAGTGTTTAAAGCTTTTAAGCACATTTTAGTAATGAAGCAAGCATGTAAGCAACGCATACAAGATCTTGATTACGATAAATGCAAAAAGCTATGCCGATAGAAAGTCCCATAGGAGCTAAATGATTCGAAATACTCAAGTATCTGTCTGTTGTTCAAGTTCTGAAATGTTATCTACTTTTAATATGTGCATTTCAATTCTATCTTTATAAAATTTGTTTATGAAATACATGTTTATAAATTTATAACCATTATATAAGCATTATGGCCAGTCAAAAAAACTTGGTAGTTTAGATCTTTTGAAAATCCTTGCAGATATTCTTTGAAATAATCTACTCCAATAGGATGAACTCAATGAAATCAAATAGATGGTCCAAACAGTTTTTAAGTTAGCGAGATCTTATTTTGGAATCTTTTCCCAATAGTGAACTATCAATAAAGCAGTTAAATCACGGCATCGCCCGCTGTATTTATAAGGTAGATCATCAATACAGAACTCGAATTGAATCTCTTAAGCTGCTAATATTAATTTGTTTTTAGCCTTACAAAGTGTTCGAAATACGAACAAAAATATCTAAAAAAACTTAATTATTAAAAAAATAATTGATCTAATCAAACGGCTTCTTTTTGGAAATCGAAACGGGTCAACATACAAATCAAGTCGTGCATAAACAAACACTTTCGGAAAAATCGTTAGCCGGATCCTTATACTAACTTGATTATCGTTTTTTGAGATTTTTTAAAACTACTTTACTAATTTATTGTATTATTTGAACTCTTACGTTTCACGATTATCGAATGGAAGCACTAAAGGAATCTCTATTTAGCATAGGATAAATATTTCTCATGTACTCTTTTGGTTTAGCAAATGGGTATATCAAAATACATACGGAAAGTGGAGTTTGACAAGATTTATAATAACTTATAACACTTTTCATTTTTTGTTGATCTTTTGTCCAAATACGTTCAAGAAAAAGATAACCAGCATGTTGAATACTCCAGCCTACAAAAAAAATATTTTTTCATTGCAAAATACTAAAACAGCTAAAATAAAATTTTTACCTAGGAAAGGTACACGTTTAAGTTGAGCTTTCAAAACAATTTTTAGTTGCTTAAGAATTTTGTATCGACTATGCAGCATCCATACAAACATCCAATCAAGGCGTGTTCGGTGATTTAATATAATTAATGAACGTTTCTTATCATTTGATAAGTCATCACCAGTAACAACTATTTTTATATTAAATAAATCTTCTAAAAGGCACTAAATCATAAACTAATTTTTTTTTTTGAATACTGAAATAATAAAGCAAATATTTACGGTGATCATCAACAGAAAATAACCCATAACAAAAGAGCACCAACGAAAATAAATTCTTCGGCTTAAAAAAATAAATGGAGCGGCAGGTGTCATAGCAAAAAAGAAACCAAAGAATGCATTGATAACTATCATCACATAGAGAATAAATGTTTTTATCGAATTGATCAAAACCATTTTTTGGCGAAATTTGGATGTGTTTACATGCCTTGCATAAAATAAAGTAAGCTTGTATTCCATTCTTTACAATCCATCGTTGTGTTTTCGACCAATCATAGCTATTTTTGTCCATTGATATATATTCCTTCTTCGAGGACTTGGTTGGGTAAATGTTATAATCAAATTAATAATTTTATATCTAGATTTTTTATTTTATAATTTATAAAAAAAATTGAATCCATTATATGAATTAATAATATGCAATAATAATGGAAGATCGTCCGTATCATTTGATTCGTTTTTAAAATGAGCAAATAGGGCATAACGAGCAAATTCGTCGTCGGAGTCAGAGGGGAGAAGGAGAACGACAAACCCATGGAAGGATAACGATATATGTATATTTTTTCCGATTAAGTCTATTCTAAAATTATATATTCATGCAATATGCAGAATTGTAGTTTCCATTTCCTCGATATCTATACTATCTGTATGGAAAAATAAAATAAAATTGCTTGTGAATTTTGAAAAAAATGTCTGATGTAAGATGAAGTACACATCGAGGAGATGTCTTTGAATCTGACATGCAAGTGAAATGCTCATGTAGATCGATGGAATTTTTAGAAATAATTCTATTCGAATAACGATTGGGAAAAGTTGTCATTTTTTAAAATTTGCGCAACAAAATTCATCCGAACTAGGGAAAAAACGGCACCATAAAAACACCTGTCACTGGTTTAAGTCGACAAACAGTGACACATGAACATATTTGAACTAAAGAAGCATCTAACTTTAGCAGTTTGATTCGGAAGTTCATGCATATGGAGCTATTCTATCGTGTTTTCTGAACAGTCAATGTACGATAGTATAAATTCAAAAGATAAACTCGACTATTTGAGGATCATTTTAGATGATCGTTCACTTTTTATATTAATCATTTGTGAGCCCACCTGAGTGAAGACAGAACCCATACAAGCGTACTGTTGCTTACTCACACTTTACATTATGAACCGATCAAAGCAAAATATTTGCATCAACTCGTTAGATTTGTGTTCTATTGATCATTATTTCATAACGAAAATAGAATTGTCAAAGAAGACTTGATTGATTGAATTCTTATCATCATTCCAATTTTATTAAGAAAATATATTGTCAATTAATTTTCCAAATATTATACAATGATAATTTATAAAATTGACATTCTTAAGGATCGATTATGATTCTGCATAGCTAGTGACGCAGGATACAAATGTATTGGAAACTGACTGCTCACAATTCTTGAATAAATCTATGATTTATATCATGCGGTTTAGTTTTCTTGTTTTCCTTCTTTCCGCCTATCGGATAAATGGTCATGGTCAACGCAACAGTAAAAGTCCAATTGCTACCGGTGGACAATCACATATCTCTCGGAAAATGGAAGATCATGTGCATGATACAAAGTAGGAACTATATTTTTTTAACTATTAAATACTTGTTTATCATTTTCTGCTTTCAGTCATATTCAAAAAGATCTACAAGGTGAAATAAATCAATCAAAAGAACAATTGACTGAAGAAGAACAAAATTTTTACTATTTCAAATTGCATGATACAAATAATGACAATCGTTTAGATGGCTTAGAAGTCATAGCTGCATTTAATCATGAACATAAAGACAATGTTCATAATCATCCAATAATTGAAGAAAACAACACGACCACTCCACATCCCGATGATGAAGATCTTACTGATATAATTGATGATATACTTGAAGAAGAAGATCTAAATCATGATGGATATATTACTTATGAAGAGTTTAAACATGCATTGCAAAATGATAAAACGATAGAAGATTAAATGATAACAAATCTTTTGCATTCTAAGAAAAGAACGTATTCCCATTACAGAACAATAAGAAACAAAACTGAAGGAATCGCATATAATTATATATGTATATGTACTTTTATTTTGTTTTGAATGCTAATCTTATTACTATTCATTGACCTATTCAGTTTATTTTTATTAATATTTTTATTCTGACCCATTATTTCATTAATTCAAATATTGTCGAAAAAATAAAAGTAATCGAGAATATCCATAAATAATGAATTTAAACCTCTTTGAAAAAGAAATATTAGTTATATTATTGTTATATAACTATTGATTATTAATTTATGCTTCAGTGTTAATAACTAAGGCGTATCTGTTTGGCATTCTCTTATTGAATTTCAATATTATTAATACATTCCTGTCTAGTTTATTTTTCTTTTATGAAACTATCGAAAAGTTAATCGTTGAATTCTACTGACCTATCGTCTCTAATCAGGCCAAGTTCGATGTCGGATCCACAAAAAGGTTACCAATCGGATCTTTGCCAACAATTTTTAATTCGTCAAACTCAAGAATTACTGAAACTGAGGAACTCTACTTGAATATGATTTTGTTTTAATTCTCTCTTTTCAAAACATCGGTAAGCTTATTTACATTTTAACAATTTGAACTATCGTATACTAACACTTTCGAGATTTGTTATTTCGATGTTGTTATCATGCGATATTTTTCTATTGATCTTATTTATTCTTCGACCTTCTTTATATCAATCGTCTAATCTATTTTGAATACTCTTCTCTGCACTTTCTAATGGTAAATAACGTAATATACTGATAAAAGTAACGGCTTATCTATTTGATATGACATATTGATCTAAAATCTTGTCATTTGAAGTCTTTTTTAGCATACAGAGTGGTGCATATAAAGCGGTGCTCTGCATATTTCTATTCTAAGAAAAAGAAACCATCATGTCTATTTCGAAAGTACAAATTATTGTATTTTTGATCGTATCATGGAGTTCATACATTCTATCTTATGTTCAACCACATGTTGAAATGAAACGTTTATCAACAAAACCTATAATTTCATCATGGGATAAAAACTCGGATTTTTTATATAATTATAATAGTGCTTTTATGCCTATGATAAATGATCCAAATGCAATAACACTTTTAGTTCGCGTACAAGATTTACTCAATGATGCAGAAAATATTTATAATGTTGGTCCAAGTAAGATAGCAGTGACCCAAAGTATTGACAGTAATCATTTGACATATTCACATATAACTCAACAAAATGTTATTATTGATATCGATCGGGATTATCAATCTTTAGGAGCTGAAGATCCTCGTGTTGTACTTTTTAATGGAAGCTACTACTTGTAAGTTCATATGTTTTATTTTAAATTAAAAATTTTTACTCGAATCGTTTTGTATGAGATCAAATTTAACGAGTTTCATTTAAATTTTATTAGATTCTACACTGCTGTAAGCAAAGTCCCCAGTGGTAATTGGCGTGCTCAACTAGCGTTAGCTACGTGTAAAACCGAATGCTTAACTAAAGAAAGTTGGACATATCATGGTCCTTTATTTCCTAATGAATTTTGGTGTAAAAGTGGTAGTCTATTAATTCATAACGATACTCATCGTTATTTGTTTTTCAACGATTCAAATATTGCTATAGCTCAAACAACTGATCTAATTAATTATAGTTTAACAAATAGTGTTCTTCTTAATACAAGATCAGATTCATTTGATTCTGAACTTGTTGAAGCTGGACCCGAACCATTAAAATTAAGCGATAATAATTATTTATTTCTTTATAATTCCGCACGACGAACAAATATTTCAAATCCAAAACCTGGTTGGTCACTCGAATATAATTTAGGTTGGGCAATATTAAATGGCGATAATCCAACAGAAGTCTTAGCAAGAAGTGATCGACCCATATTTTCACCGGTATTGGATTGGGAAAAATGTGATAATACATCATCTGAATGGACTAATCGCGGTCTTACACCATTGGTTATTTTTGTTGAAGGATGGAAAAAAACTGCCCCAAATACATTTCTAGTTTGGTATCAAGGATGTGATTCGACGATGGGTTTAGCTGAACTTAAAGTATATTTTTCATCTATTGCACGAGCAAATAGTTGTACACCTCTAGTTGTATATATGCTTACTTTTTTTCTTTTATGTTTCTCTTTTTCTTGATCGAAATACTTATTCAATATGTTGACACATGAATAAATAGATTTCAGCAGTTTTTATATAACGTAATAGACTTTAAATAAAACACAAAAGATATTATGATTTCAATATGTGAATTATTGTTTGATTTTCCTGCCAATGAATCGAGTGATATGATCTAAGCAACAAGAAAAAGTCTATCGTATTCTTTGATTTAAATTTAAACTCACTGTTACACATGCCCAATATTCTAAAAAAATAGTTCTATTTCAGTATTGTTTTCAAAGTTTTCTTTCGATGAAATTAGTATGCCGTTTAGTGCTATAAAATTAGTGCTACCAAAATTTCTAAGCAGATTAAATATTTCTAGGTTTACTTAACGATTCCAATGATGGCTATGTGTTGTCACCAAAAAGGCTTATTTTTCTTGGGTACCAGAACGAGTTACAATATTTATTTGTGATAGTTGCATCGAACATAATTAAGTATAATATTTATATTCTTCATGCAAAAATTTATATAATGTACAACTTTGAGAAATATAGTTAATAATAGAAAGAAGTCATTGGTAATATCTATTCTATTTAGAATATTTAATATTACCCAAACACTGTTTTGATGATTTCCTTTCAACTTCAATCACATTCAAGAGGCTCACATATGATTCCAACCGAGATATAGCTCGGAAATATCATACATCGAATGTTCTCTGTGATTAATAACGGAATTATTGATCAAGAATATCATGCCTAGACAATGCCATTTTGCCGACAGATGTTTTGACAAACGTTCTATGCAAACCTACATTAAGTGAAGGTAGTGCTTGATTTATATGAAAAAAACTATGTCAGTGTACGCCATCTTTTTGCACGAGAAATCTAATTGCTCTATCAACGAACCATTTAGTGCTTTGTTCTGCACATACATGCCGAAGAAATGAGGTTAATGTTCTATGCGCATTTTAGGAGCGTGAGAGAAAGAAAATTTTCTTATCAAGCACAGCAGAATATCTGTAACACAAACCAGTAGTTTTTGAACAACAAGAACGGTGAAATTGACTATCTATTGACTAGGGGTGGTCATTTAGTGTTACTTTACTAAATAAAGATAAATGATTCATTTATCTTTATAAAGTAAAGATAAAGAAATCGTTTATCTTTAGAAAATAAAGGAAAACTAAAGGAATAAATGATTTTTATTTTCAAGCGATAATCGAGTCGAAAGTATTCTAGAATTGTAGAACTCGTGTTTTGGGAATATTCTTATCATTGGACCGATGTCTTCTGACTGAAAACAGGAACCTCTGAAGTGAAATCAACTGATACTGTTTTACTAGTATTTAGAGGATTTTAGTTAGAAAAATATAGATTAAATTAAAACTAATACCATATTCTGAATCAGCATTAAAAACGGAACAAATCTATGTGACTCTCGAATATATTTTAGGCGGTTAGGATTTTTGGTCGAGGAACCCTGAGCGGGAGACTAGGGGTGAATTTTTGTAAAAACCTAACTATCTAAAATATATTCGAAAGTCGCATAGATTTGTTCCGTTTTTAATGCTGATTCAGAATATGGTATTAGTTTTAATTTAATCTATATTTTTCTAACTAAAATCCTCTAAATACTAGTAAAACAGTATCAGTTGATTTCACTTCAGAGGTTCCTGTTTTCAGTCAGAAGACATCGGTCCAATGATAAGAATATTCCCAAAACACGAGTTCTACAATTCTAGAATACTTTCGACTCGATTATCGCTTGAAAATAAAAATCATTTATTCCTTTAGTTTTCCTTTATTTTCTAAAGATAACGGATTCATTTATCTTTATCCTTTAGTATAAAGGAAAATAAGGATAAAGGGTCACCCCTACTATTGACTTGCTCGCATGCGAACTTCGATATTGACGATCTATTCTCTCATTGCATTGTGATGGCACACTATTAAAACGAGTCGTACATTAGTAAAGGAATCCATTTGATAGAGTTGATAACTATTGTAGAATCTTCCAAAGAATGTCTCCACTATGGTTATATTGTATCACACTATTGTTTGTTACTCGATCGTCTTCACTGAACATATTATTTGTGAGTGACGGTGCAGCCGGTCATGTAACTACTGTTTACGAATTGGCCAAAACTATGAAAAATCACAATGTGACATTTTTTACCCAACAATTAGCCAAAAGTTATGTCAATTTTGAAACATCAGCTACATTTCATTTGATCTATTCTAATGATTCAACTGAAGCAGCCGTTAACGAGAAGAAACTCGAACAAGAACTCATTGGAGTCTACGCCAATCATTCCTTTATTGACTCGATTTTCTATTCGACTCCTAGTGCATTACCGTACGTCATACGATTCTTGAATAAAACGATCGAAATTTTAATGAAACAACGTTTTGATGTGATCGTCGTCAATGGTCTACTGATGTGGGGTCCAATATTATGTGATGCAATAAAAACACCGTGCGTCATTCAAAGTCCGGTGTCTATACCAAATGTTTTGAATTTGAATTTACCAAATTATTTCTCCCTATTAACACCGACAGACATGACAAAAGTAACAAGTCGTCTATTTAATGCAATTTTTACATTTCGATTGGCATTTTCATCGTTCTTTAAATCTCTTCCTTTGTTTTACAAAGTTTTCCACGCACTGCCACGTGTTCCAGGTCCTTTCTATCATAGTTTTACATTAAAAAATCTTCTCTTGTTAAAGCCGAAAAATTTGCATTTGATCAGCATGCCGTCAACATTTCATGTGCCAACAATAGAGGATCCTTATACAAAATATTTAGGTGCGTTCATAGATGAAACCAGAGTCAATATTACTGACAAGGATTTAGCTCGTTGGTTTCAATCCAAAAAGATGAATTCGGTCATATTTGCAGCGTTCGGAAGTACATCATTGATTCCTCACGACCGAATGGTGAGTCTCATCATCGGTATCGCCACGTTCCTCATAGAAGTGCCCGATAGTTCTGTTTTATTGGCATTGCGCAACGTCAATTATGACACCTATGAATCAGTACTCAAGACAATTGACAACGATCAAATTCGTTATATATTCGATTCGGTTGAACGAGTAAAAGTTGAACGTGGATTTGTACCACAGAAATGGATTCTTCAACAACATTCTGTCAAGATATTTCTCAGTCATTGTGGCATGGGTTCAATCATCGAAGCATTTTATTATGAGAAACCGGTTCTCTGTATGCCGTTTAATATGGATCAATTTAGCAATGCAGTTACTGTTGTTTATCGCGGAGTTGGACTATCTTTATTTGTTCCGAATCTGTCGCCATTGGAATCATTGATTACTCCATATGATTATCGGCATTATGCGTTCACCTCTCGAGATGTTCAAGAAAAGTTATCAAAGCTTTGGTTGAATGCTGTCTATCAACAAGCAGTGAAGCGACTATCCGCGGAAATGAAATATGCAGGAGGTGTCAAGAAAGCAGTTGAATTAATTGAATTTTTCGTCGAAATGAATGGAACTTTCGATCGTTTTATTCCTTTTGAAGCAACATTGCCATTTTATCAACGATATCTCCTTGATTTATTCGTCATTTTCGTTCTTCCACCTGGAATAACAATTCTTTTCGTTCTTGTCAAATATTGTCAAAGACAATCGAAACAAAAGATCGAGTAGTAGATGAGAAATAAATTAATGAAATTAGTGATTGCGTCTTGTAAATTTATTCTCGTTCATTATTTCTTTCTCTCCAAATTTATTTTTGTTTAACTATTGTGTATGACCATCTGGCCTCGGATTCGTCCTATATTTTCTTATATTTCCTATATTTAAAAAAATTCCTATTTTTTCTCCTATATTTCGATGGATTTTCCTGTATTTCCTATAAAAATGAATAAAAGTAGAAAATTGCTAAAAAACGCTCTTGTTTTAGTATAATTTTCATGTTTTTTAAACAAATCGATTCGATAATTATTGATTCTTTTGCATTCTTAGAATTTTTTTACAGGGACTATTTTATTTACAATTTCTTTTCACATTATCAAACGGACAAAATGAAAATAACTGACTATTTTAAGTAAAG